GCAGTGGGTTGGAGATCTTCATAAAAATAGTGTCTAGAGTTTAGATTGGATGTTAAGGAAAAAGTTATTTACTGAAACAGTTGTCAGGCACTGGAACACGCTGCCCAAGAAAAGTGGTGGAGTCACCATGCCTGGGGGAATTTAAAAGACATGTAGATGTGGTGCTTAAGGACATGGTTTAGTGGTGGACTTGGCAGTGCTGGGTTAATGGTTGGACTTGACAATTGTAAAGGTCTTTTCCAACTGAAGTGATTCTATGACTGATTTTACTGCTGGCTCATCTAACCCATATTGGGAACATTTATCCCATCAGCACCAGTGCTTCCACCTGCTAGAAACGCACCAGCAGCCATGTGGATTACACAGCTGCAGCTCCAGCCCGTGGTCCTGCTGCTGCCTTGGGATGTCACTGGTGGGGAGAACTGTGCCCCTGGTCATACTGTGGGTTTGTTAGTCAGCAGGACCACTTCTTGGGATCCTGCCTGGTGTCACCACAGTGAGGCTGGGTGACACACAGCTGCTTTTGTGGGATTTCATCCCTCATTAAGATGAAGAGAGTTTGAACCATTTCCAGCTAAGAGATGAGAGGGACCAGGAGTCTGCAGAACTCCAGTGATTGTCAACTAGAAGTGATTTATAATATCACTTACATGCACTTGGCTTTTTGCCTCTGTCAAGGGATAGCCTGTATCTATAAAAATCTAGCTGTAGCATCCGTTGGAGTTTGCCTTCTAGGGGTGGGAGAGGAGAACAGCTGCGTGGGTTTAGGGCAGATGTTGACCTCCTACTGCCCCTTCAAGCTGGGTCTTTGCTCAACGGGGCCACCCTGTGTCCCTGCAGTGGCTGTGACCAGTGCGATCAGGTAGGACACTGGTAGACATTTCTTTGGGCTCTGCAGGGTTGGTGGGAGAGGCAGGAGTAGCTCTTGCTGTGGATAAACTCCCTCAGGGCTCCTAGAAGTGGACAAGGTTGTGCTTTGGCTGAGCAAAGTGCCATGCACAGGGACACCCGCAGGGGCGTTTGGGGACGTTGCCTTTATGCACATGACTTGACACCCTTGACCTGTTTTGGCTGGGCTGGAAATGTGGGCAGGTGACAGGGGCATGTTCACCTTGTTCAAAAGCTGCTCTGGACCACGTCAGTTGCCACCACTGTCCCGCATCTGTCCTTATACAGCCCTGTCTCCCTTCGGAGAGGCTTCCAGACACATCACCTGCGTGGGGCAGGTCTGAGGATAAGGAGCACTACCAGAGAGAGGTTTAGATGAGACAAGGGCAATGCCTTTTTATAAAGTCTTTGGCTATGTCTTGGCTCTGGCAGGGAAAGATGGCTCCAGTCTCTGGGTAGTAGCAGCAGGAGAGAGAAGTTCTGATCTAGATGCAGCATTACTGGAGAAACATGTGCGGAGGGTCTGGGTAAACTTGATGGCCATGAGACTTGTTATGCTGGGGATCATCTCCCATGATGGTTGAAACTCCATCATTTGAATCACTTGAGTTAGACTGGAAGAGACTTGAGGATGTGCTCATGGTCTCTCCTGGGTCAGTCCCACCAGAGGAGACCCATGGGGCTGTTTCCACCTGTCTCCTGGCAGTGAGGATCACAGAGGTCATCAAAAGCAGGAGAAACCCTTGGATTGTAGGGAGAGGTATCACAGCAGACAGCCTGCCAGCAGGGAAACTGCACCAAACTGTGGTAATTGTGCATATAAATGAGGCAGGCAGACGTGTGCCCAGCTGCCAGATCAGCTCTCAGCGAACCTGAGGTGGGGATCTCATGTGCTGGGATGGGGACAGGGACAGGACAGCCCCCCACCCCAGGGCCAGCAGCCTGGGGAGCCAGTGAGGGCTGGTGCTTTCACAGGGACCCTGGAGTAGCATTTATCAGACTCTTAATGAGGCACCCCGGGGAAAGGGAGAGGTATAAATCGAGACAAGTGCTGAAAAATGCACGATATTAGGTGCCTGATGAGCTAGATCTAGTCAATAAGACAGTTTGAGCATGAGCTGGCTCTGCTCAGCCTGCTCTGGGCCTCCCACGCTGGCACGCGTGGGGCTGTTTGCAGCTGCCCTCCTCCAGCTCAGCTTGCACGGGGAGCCCCCCAAACACCCCCCCTCGCTCAGACCCCCAGCAGTGAGCAAACTGCCTCAGGGCTGGCAGCGTGGCCACGGCTGTGTCTGGGGGGCAGGCTGCCCTCTGTCACCCTGCAGGCTCACCTGGGCTGTCTCAGCCGTCCCTTCCTCATCTCACCCAAGGGGCAGCGCCCTGGGGCAGCTGCCGGGCACCCATGTCTGCAGCCCCTGTGCATTTTGTTGGTCTCTGTCAGGGACGAGCCATGAGCCATCCTCATCTGTCGTGTCTCAGTGAGCTGTGACCAATAGCAGCATCTTATCCCTGCTCCTCAAGAGCCAGCAGGGACAGTGAGGTCAGGAGTGAGATTTTGGATTTTAAGGGTAGGACCCACATTTGGAACAAGTGGGGCAGCCAAGCTGGAATGTGGAGGGTGCACAGAGTCAGGATGACGGGTTGTTTTGGTTGATGTTAGGGTGCCTGACAAGTCAGAAGGAGACCTGGGTTCTGGGACATGCAGGAGCTCCCAAAAGCTTGCATGGTGCTGGAGGAGTGATGTGCCCATCACAAGGACCACTGATGCCTCCATCCCTCTGGGGAGGCTGTAGAGCCAGCTCCCATCCACGCATCCAAATAGAGATTTACTCCCCATCAGCCCAGACAGCATCCAGGGAGCTGAGCAGGTGATGCTGTGATGTCTGGAGTGTAACTGGGCCACCAGCGTGGGGAGGGCTGAACCCACCTCTCTAAGTGGGGAACCCCAGAGGTGGGTGCAGAGCTGCAGATGGAGGGGCAGCAACCACACCTCGCCAGAGAGGGGAGATATGCAGGCTGAGACAGGAGCAGCCATGCCAGATGTGAGCTGCAGTCCTGCTCCAAACTGTCCTCCAGCCACACCACTTCCTCAGACTCAGAAGTTTTGCAAGGAGTTTTTACAAGCAACTGAATGACTGTTTCCACCATGGCCAAAGGGGTAGGTTTGGGGTGCTGTGGGAGCCCATAGGGGGTCACTGCTCTGCAACCAGTCTGGCACTATCCCCTTGCTGGGCAGTGGGCAATGCTCAGTGCAGCACCCACCTCAGGTCTCCTGCTTTGCCAGGCTGACTTAATGAAGCCAAGTTTGCAAATGAAACATAATTTCAAAGACAGGCATGTTGTCGGAAGGTCTGGGGATGATGTATGTCTGTTCCTGCTCGTTAGCAGCTGTCTCTTTAATTACTGCAGATGCTAACGAGATGCTTACAGCATATGGTGACAGGGAGAGCAGCCACACTTTGCACCAAAGTGCAATTTATTGGTGAGGCGGCCGGGAGGGAGGGGCAAGGGCTGGTGGGGTAAAATCTGCTGGGACTTCTCTCCACCTTCTTTGCTCTCATCATACCCTTTATTCTCCCTTAGGGCTAATGCCTGTATCTGGAAGGGCTCATTGCTAGGCAGCTCAAGGGAGAGGTTTAGGCCTTGGGTGATAGAGGGGTGTCCACTTCCAGCCCCCCTACACCAACTCATGGCTCTAGGCTGGCTGGTGCCTCCAACCTTGGTGTGTCCTTTGCCAATCCTGGGTCACTGCAGATCCAGCATTTTTGGAGGAAGTGTCTGGTCCAGCTTCCCTCTCCCTTCCTCCCACCTATGAGATAGGTGCTGATGTCACTCTTGATCTGACTTGTAGGGGCTTGGCAGTGGAGACATGTAGGTGGCAAACGATTTAACTGGAGAAAACCTCATTGCCTGGTCTCCTCCATCAACTGGAGACTCAGAGTAGAGTTGTCAGTGGGTTGCTCTCTTGCTTTTCCTCCTCAGGTGCTTTTCTTGGCTGAGCCAGCTCAAATGGTTGGCTATGTCCCATACACACAGTCCCCAGACCCAATCTGCTCTTCCCCAGCCCTGAGTTACATGTTTTTAGCTCATTTTTGGCTTGTAGAATGAGCAGAATTCACCATGGAGTGTTTGGAAACTCTGGAAAGCTGATCTTTGGGCTGATAGACAAGGGAACAACCTCCAGCAGGCTTTAAAGGAGAGAATGACTTCCTTCACAGGGTTAATTTTACCATGTGCCTCATTCCTTGTGGTCCTGAGCAAGGACTGAACACTATAAAGCCATGTATGGAGCTGGATGCTGCAGGGCCACAGCAGTCTCCTGACATTGTGGTGTTTTTTTGAAAGGGAAAGCCAGTGTCTGGCACCTTCTCACCCCTCTCTCCCTCTTCTCCATCCCCTGTCCTGCAGGAGTGTGCTGGGGAACCACTCTTCATGCTCTACTGTGCCATCAAGCAGCAGATGGAGAAGGGACCCATTGATGCCATCACAGGAGAGGCTCGCTACTCCCTCAGTGAAGACAAGCTTATCCGGCAGCAGATTGACTACAAAATGCTGGTTGGTGCAAGCAAAAGCCTCACTGGTCCTGGTGCTTGTCAGGACTGCTAGGGCCAGCTAGTTAACAAGATCTTGGAGGTACCCAAACTACTTTGCAGAGACTGGTTTGTCTCTTGTTCTCTCCAGCATCCCTGGGGTGCCCCTTACCCTGTCTGTGGTGCCCACCTCAGCTAGGGCCAGAAATGGGGCCATTGGATGGCAAGGTTTGCTCTTGCCATGGAGCTGAGGAAGTCAGACATTAACTGAATCCCCCTCCATGCCTCTCCTGACAAACACCACGGCCCTGACAAAGCCAGGACCAGAGATGATGTTGAGCACATGTTACCTGGAGCAGCCAGCAGCTCATGTTGGGTGGGGATTAAAGTTAGAGATTTGAAATTACTGCAGGAGATGGAGAGATACTTCTCTTCCTCCATATAACCCATCTTTTGTCCAGTTGAATGATAAGCTAGGCCCTTCCCAGGCTATGCCTGCAGCTAGTTCATCACCACCTTGATCTCCACTGGGATGGGGTTGGGAGGGGAGTGGAGATGCCTGGGCATCCTATGAAGACAGGCTGAGCTGGGATTGTTCAGCCTGCAGAAAAGAAGGCTCTGGGGCCACCTTATAGCAGCCCTCCAGTACCTGAAGGGCCTACAGGAAAGCTGAGGAGGGGCTTTTTACAACAGCATGGAATGATAGGATGAGGAGGAAAGGTTTTTAACTGAAAGAGGGTACATTTAGATTAGACATTAGGAAGAAATTTTTCACTGTGAGGGCGGTGAGACTGTGGAACAGATTGCCCAGGGAAATTGTGGATATCCCATCCCTGGAACTGTTCAAGGCCAGGCTAGAAGGGGCTAGAAGCAACCTGGTGTAGCAGAAGGTGTCTCTGCCCATGGCAGAGGGGTTGAAATTAGATGATCTTTAATGTCCCTTCCAACCCAAATTATTCTATGATTCTATGATTGCTCAGGCTAGGCAGGTTTTGGCAAGTTGAGCATGGTCTGCTGGCCCAGGATTCCTTCACTGACACTGCACTGCCTTTCTGGAAGTAGCTGGAGA